CAATCTGTAAGTATTTGGTTATAGAATGTTTTTTGGGGGGAAATATTTGGATGTATAAATATTATTATGGGGAAAGACTAAACATTTTTCAGAAGATAACATTATCTTAAATTCTGTACCTAATATATGGGGCTTGACAATCGGTCTACAACATAAATGGATTCTCCGTGCCCTTGCATCTGCAAAAAGATTGATATTGATACATTGGAAGGACAAAAATATGGCCTATTTCAATCAATGGACAGATGACATGACAACCCTTGCAATTCTTCACTTTCAGACGAAGATTATGTATGGACAAATTTAATGATATTTGGAACATATTGACTGAAACCACAGTGACCTATGAATCAATGTATATTTGAGGGAAACAATAAGTTCATCCATTTACTTATATGTTACATAGTTCTATAATCTTAATTATATTTTACTGCCATATGGTTATTGTTATTTCCTTTTCCTTTTAAAATATTTTATGTATTTTCTTTCTTTCTTTCCTTCTTTCTTTCTATTTAACTCATTGTAATATTCTTAATAACTTTAAAATTTTATATATATATATATATATATATATATATATATATGAGTTTCTATAGTTCTATAACTATATATATATATGTATGTATTTGGTTGTAGAACTATAGAAACTCAGAAAGAAGGACTCATAAATCACACTGTTCTGGTCCATCTTTGGGTGCCTCAAGACATCCTTTTTATTGAGTATTGGTGATGAGTTGTGCTCCTGGTGGTATTGTGGTGGCTATACATGACTTTGTTTTCGACAGTGTTTGCACCTGCAAAAGTTTCAGGGGATCATACTGATTGTACCATAAATGTTCCAGGGATTTACAGTGGTACCTCGGGTTAAGTACCATATTTTTTGCTCTATAAGACTAACTTTTTCCCTCCTAAAAAGTAAGGGGAAATGTGTGTGCGTCTTATGGAGCGAATGCAGGCTGCGCAGCTATTCCAGAAGCCAGAACAGCAAGTGGGATTGCTGCTTTTGCTGCGCAGCAATCCCTCTTGCTGTTCTGGCTTCTGAGATTCAGAATATTCTTTTTCTTGTTTTCCTCCTCCAAAAACTAGGTGCATCTTGTGGTCTGGTGCGTCTTATAGAGCGAAAAATACGGTACTTAATTCGTTCCGGAGGTCCATTCTTAACCTGAAACTGTTCTTAATCTGAAGCACCACTTTAGCTAATGGGGCCGCCTGCTGCCGCTGCGCTGCCGGAGCACGATTTCTGTTCTCATCCTGAAGCAAAGTTCTTAACCCGAGGAACTATTTCTGGGTTAGCGGAGTCTGTAACCTGAAGCGTATGTAACCTGAAGTGTGTGTAACCTGAAGTACCACTGTATTTATTTTTGCCCCACTTCTGTTATGCTGTAGTGCCTGAGCACCCCTCCAGATGGCATTCATGCCGTAACATGGCAGAAGCATCTCAGAACCACCAATAAAACAGACAGATGTGGGCCTGGTCCAGGATAAGTGCATCACTAAAGCAGTATTGTTGTGTCAATAACGACATGTTGCAGAAGACACCTCCAGTCTGGAGGGGCCTTTAGAAATGGAATAATAATAATAATAATAATAACAACAACAACAATTCCTTATTTATACCCCGTGCCCATCTGGCTGGGTTTCCCCAGCCACTCTGGGCAGCTCCCAACAGAATATTAAAAACATGCTAAAACATCAAGCATTGAAAACTTCCCTATGCAGGGCTGCCTTCAGGTGTCTTCTAAAAGTCAGATAGCTGTTTATTTCCTTGACATCTGATGGGAGGGCGTTCCACAGGGCGGGTGCCACCACCAAGAAGACCCTCTGCTTGGTTCCCTGTGCCTGGCACAATCTCCTGATTGATACAGTAAGTCCTCGATACCGGCTGGCTGGTCAACCTCTGCTTGAAGATCTTGCTGTTTTTATTTACTATTGAAAATGGTTGTATAGGCAAGAACGCTGGGTCAAAAAGGCCACATTCCACAGGGGCAAATGCAATGTCCTGCATTTAGGTGCGAAAAGTCATAGTCCCAAGAACAGTATGTGAGAGGCCTGGCTTGGCAGCAGTCCATGTTAAAAGGATCTCAGAGTCCTAGTTAATCACAAGCTGAACATGAGCCAGCCATGTAATGCAGCTGCTAAAAAGCTAATGCTATTTTAGACCACATTAACAGAAGGATCGTGCCCAGATCACGGGAAGTAACAGTTCTGCTCTGTTCCGCTGGCCAGCCCAAGTTCTGGAGTTCCGGAGGCCACCTTTTAAGAAGGAAATTGACAAACTGGAGACCACGCAGAGGAGTCTTAAAATGCCCTTCTGCTTGTTCCTTGGCAAGCGGGGGCTTGTACTCAGTGATTTTAAATGTGTTGCCAAATGCAAGTCTCACTGGAGTTGGTTCCACTCCGGAGTTCCCAGTCGGAGCTCCCAAGTGGAGCCCATCTGTGCCAAAAACAGGGTTTGAAGTCAGTGCTGATTAGCTGATCGGCGCTGACTTCAAGCATCACTGGGGATTGGCTACTCAACGGAGTTTCTGGTTGCCAAATCCAAAGTGAGGCTGGTCCCTGCCCAAAGCAGGGCTTGAAGACAGCAGTATTTATTGCATAGAATTTATGTGCAGCTTGATTGTAAACAAAAAACACCTTTGAAGCCTCAAACCGGTTTAGAGAAGATTTAGGGAGGAAATTGGGTGCAAGATGACCACCAAACAAAGTAGTTGGGATGCCTGAGAAATTGTTATGAGGCTAAAGAAATGCCATAGCCCTGTCCAAGTCCCGTTGCCAAGCAAGCAGGGGCTAGGAGTCTCCAAGAAACTCTTGCCTGAGAGTAGACTCTACATACGAAGTCAGATAGTTCAGAGGTCAGGGAATCTAGATGGTCATAGAACCAAGGGTCCAGATCAGACTTCCTCAGCCTCGGCCCTCCAGATGTTTTTGGCCTACAACTCCCATGATTCCTAGCTAGCAGGACCAGTGGTCAGGGAGGATGGGAACTGTAGTCTCAAAAACATCTGGAGGGCTGAGGTTGAGGAAGCCTGATCCAGATGAACAACAGGAGGCAGCAAGGTAAGGCCAGGAACCACAGGTGTTTCCAGCTTCAGACTGCTGCTGAGAACCCTGTTTAAGAAGGCCAGAAGTGCACTGTTTGGGTGTGGGGTTTTTTGTGTGTGTGCATTTTTTTTTAATAAGTGGTGATGTCTCTGGGTGCAATCTACTGTATTGCCACATCCCCTACTTCTACTTTGTTTCTAGCAGCCCAGAGGAAAGGACACAACTTGCCTCTTTCCCCCAGTTGTTACTGAAGGCGCTTATTTTATTTTATTTTTAAAGCTGTTTTGTGAAAACTTGCTCTTGCACAAAACAGCTGTGTTAAAAATCAAAATAAAAGTTGCTCCTTGTGGGTACAGGAGGCGGGAAAGAAAAAGAGAAGGCATAAAATAGCAAGCACTCATGAGTGGATGAAGAAGGCACTCACACACGCACACAGTGACCCACAAAAACGCCCTACTGAACACAGGTCTAGTATTCGTCTTGATCTGAAATGGGGCAGGTCACTGCACCAATCCATCCCATTGTATTATGGATGTGTTTGTTTGTTTGCTTGCTTAAATTATCATTTCCTTCTGTAGTGAGAACCCCACGATTTCTCTGCATAGAAAAAAAAACTTTTATATGTACAGTGGTACCTCGGGTTAAGTCCTTAATTCGTTCTGGAGGTCTGTTCTTAACCTGAAACTGTTCTTAACCTGAAGCACCACTTTAGCTAATGGGGCCTCCCGCTGCCGCCGCACCGCTGCCACGCATTTTCTGTTCTCATCCTGAAGCAAAGTTCTTAACCCAAGGTACTATTTCTGGGTTAGCGGAGTCTGTAACCTGAAGCGTCTGTAACCTGAAGCATCTGCAACCCGAGGTACCACTGTATTAGCTGGCCCAGAAAGATTCAGCATACCACCCTTCCACAAACCACAACAATCTATAGCTGAGTGTTGTGTGCAAACACTGAGTTTTGAGGGATTTATAAGATCTGAGGTGAAACCAGAGTAAAAAAAACACTGAGTTTTGAGAAGCATTTGGTTCAACCAGCCGTACTCCCCCCCCAAAAAAAAAACACCCAGCACAATGCCATTTGCATTCTGAAAGGAGAACCCTGAGAACAGAAGGTTCTGCTTCCTTTTCACTCCTCGTTGGTGGAGAGAAAACATTCGTTTGCCATTCCTGCCCCTTGAATTATTCATGGAAACCAGCGTGGCTGGTTTTCCTCTCATCTGCCAGGAAGCTGACATTTCCTTTTGGTCTGGAGTTGTAATCAGAGTAATCAGCAGTCCATTAAAGATCTCAACACGTCACTCACAGACTGTGTTGGGTAGCACTTGGAACAGAGCAGTCTGTGTGTTCGGGGGTGGAAGAGCACAAACTCCTATTTCTGGAGATGGTCTCCCCATTGTGGGCTTCACCGTCATGTTGGCACACAACATTTGTTGGAATAAGTAGGGATAGTACTGTGTTTTGAGCTTGCTGGTTGCCTGCTTGTCAGGGAAACAACCTTTCATTCATGCAGTTGCTCATAGGGCCAGTATAGGTGCAGTGGAAGGAATCACAGCTCATAGGTAGGGCCCATGATTTGCGTGCGGATTGGGTAGTTGATGGTGTGAAAGGTCTCTGCTGGAGACTCTGGAGAGGCACTGCCAAACAGAGTAGACAATACTGTACGGAATGAACAAATAGAGTCCAGCTGAGGAAGAGGGACTATGAAAAACAGGTACCATCAAGATTTGGGCCTCCACTAGTACACCAGGAAGTAGGAACAGTGTGGCCATATTGGTCCAAAACTAAGTGGCTCCCAAATATAGGCCACACCCCTAAAATGAGGCCTCTTCAAAAGGGAGTGAATATGTATTCGGCAAATCTTCAGCACCATCCAGTGTTTTTTTACAATCTAAAAAACACATGCAGCCTCTCACAATGAACAACACACCAGACAACTGATACCACCTGTTGAGAAGAGCAGGTGGATAGCTCAGTCAGTAGAGCATGAGACTGTTAATCTCAGAGTCCTGGGTTTGAGCCCCACGTTGGGCAAAACATGCAGCGCATGGGGTTGGACTAGATGACCCTCGGGATCCCTTCCAACTTTACGATTCTATGATTTACCAAAAAAAACAACTCCTGAAGTTCCGTGCAGTTCCCAGGGTCTCAAATCATGGCTTATCTACCTACAAGCTGCCCTGTGGTCTAATGAAAGCCTGGTTGGGGTGGGATTGCAGCCTTTCATCTATGCAGACCAATACAGTAAATCCTCAGTTTCTGCTTTGGCAACCACTGATAGGTCTGCTCCTAGTCTAACTACCTTCTGGATAGCTCCTCTCCTACTAGATACCAATTTCTCTGGTTGCTGACAGTGTTGGACAGCTCCCCTGCCTTGCTTAGAAGACCCAAGCGGAGCACAGTTCAATGTGAAAATTATTCTAGTCAAAGGAAAAATGGATTCCCACATAGCCACAATAATAGCACTGATATAGCTCCAAAATCTGGCATGTTCCCTCAGTCTGGGCAAGCTATTGGTAAGGGAATGTGAATAGGAAACCACCATAGAAGGCAATACAGTATTGTGTTCATTCAGAGAAGAACAAGACTTAATGTGAGCCAGAGTTCACAAGGAAATGGTCCCAGAACATGTTTCAAGTGCCAGAATTTAACCTGTGGGGCACGTGATGGATAATAAAGAAAACAAGTTTGACCTGCAGTGTGGAATGTTCAGTGTCCATCTCCCCACGCCTGGTTTTTGTGTGCCCACCTCAAACATGTCGCCATTCACTGCTCATTGAGAAAACCCCTTATTTTTGCCTAAAGACTTTTTGTGCAATACTTGAGGTTTCCCCAAGCCTGCTGACAACTCTGTTTTGGCTGCATCAGCTCACAGCCTGAGCATCGGAAATAGAGGGAATAATAGCGTCTTCTTCTAATCACCATTGTGTTTCCTTCATTTCAGCAACCTGATTTAGGTGGGGAAAGACTATAGCAATTGTCAATCTAGATATCTGTTAGCGGATCCTGATCTACCTTCTACCTATCCCTGATGTGTAGAGTAGCCACAGGTGTGGACAGTAAAAGCCGAGAAACTCAGAGAGATGCCATGCACATACAGAGTTGACTTATATCACTCTCACACAGTAATTACTCTGTGGTGTAGAAAGGGCTGAGATAAACCTAAAATTCATGCATTTGAATTCGGATTATTTTAAAGGGAAAAAATATATAGGGCAGTTTTCCTGAGCAGATTCTTAATTAATCCAAGGAAACAAACCTGTTAATCTTTTTTGTTTTTATGTAATTCCTGCTCTGCTTTTCTACAATACAATGACAAAAGCAGCTTGCTAAATAACAATAACAAGATAAACCATCAAACATTAAAAACTTCCCTAAACAGGGCTGCCTTCAGATGTCTTCTAAAAGTCAGATAGTTGTTTATTTCCTTGACTTCTGATGGGAGGGTGTTCCACAGGGCAGGTGCCACTACCGAGAAGGCCCTCTGCCTGGGTCCCTGTAGCTTCACTTCTCACAGGGATGGAACCACCAGAAGGCCCTCGGAGCTGGATCTCAGTGTCTGGGCTGAACGATGGGGGTGGAGACGCTCCTTCAGGTATACTGGGCCGAGGCTGTTTAGGGCTTTAAAAGTCAGCACCAACACTTTGAATTGTGCTCGGAAATGTACTGGGAACCAGTGTAGGTCTTTCAGGACCAGTGTTATGTAGTTGCGGCAGCCACTCCCAGTCACCAGTCTAGCTGCCGCATTCTGGATTTGTTGTAGTTTCCGGGTCACCCTCAAAGGTAGCCTCACATAGAGCGCATTGCAGTAGTCCAAGCAGGAGATAACTAGAGCATGCACCACTCTTGCAAGACAGTCTGTAGGCAGGTAGCGTCTCAGCCTGCATACTAGATGGAGCTGGTAAACAGCTGCCCTGGACACAGAACTGACCTGAGCCTCCATGGACAGCTGTGAGTCCAAAATGACTCCCAGGCACCTGGTCCTTCAGGGTCACAGTTACCCCACTCAGGACCAGGGAGTCCCCCACACCTGCCCACCCCCTGTTCCCCCAAAACAGTACTTCTGTCTTGTCAGGATTCAACCTCAATCTGTTAGCCACCATCCATCCTCCAAGAGATTAAAACATACAAAGCAGCAACCTCTCCATCCCTTGTAACGAGGTGTGAAATTGGGTCTACAAGCCTTGTGGAGGCCTCAGCCTTTCCAGGTGCATTTTGGACTGAAATTTAATATTGAAAAGACCTTTAAAAAAGGACTTCCCAAATCTTGGCACAAGAATCATTAACTCCAGAGTTCAGCAAGGTTTCTATGCACTTCTCTTTGCATGAGATCTCCCTGTTCTACTTACTCCGACCAAATTCTAAGGGTGGAAGTTTTAAAACCAAGTCGCTTTTCCTCTGCAGCTTCAGATGTTGCTACTGTGATTTACTGGATTTGTTTATTGCCAGATAAACATGGAACTGAGCTTTGCTCTGTCTCTCGAGGACAGAGGTGGGGAACCTGTGGCCCTCTAGACTCCAATTCCCACCATGGCCAATGGCAAGAGATGATGGGGGTTGTAGAATAACAACATATGGAAGGCCGCAGATTCCAAATCCTTCTTTTAAGTACTGCACGCAAAGGTGGTTGCCTCTGCTTCTCTTTCTCTCTCATGTTCAGGCACACCACAAAGTGATACATGACCTTGGTGTTAAAGGTCAGTGTGAAGTGCGTGCTGACAAGTATTCCCTGCAGAAGACGGAATCATGTATTACCTACTCTATCTTCCAACATGATCTGGGTGCTTAATAGGTCAAGACTCATAGCAATATATCTTCCCCTTTTACAAATGCCAGGCCATGCCTTCATAGTATATAAAGATTCACAGCTGTTTTAGGTCTGCAGGAATCTGGTGAAAAAGTCTATTGATTGACTTGTTCTCCCAAAGATTCCTAACCTGTCTAGTGTTGGCCTTTCTGCACAATATTTGTATTTTTAAAGTGTCCCAGTTCCTACTTCTAAGAATAACAATTATAAACGCAATTTATTATCTGGTTTTCCCTTGGTTTAAAGACCAGACAATGGTTTGACAGCACCTGAAAACTGTTGTAACAATGACAGTAAGTAGATCTGACCTCATTAGCTCTTTGGATGGGAGACCACTTGGGAAGTGAATGCAAACCCCTCTGCATGCTTTGGAGAAAGAGGGGGGCATTAGTAAAAGGAACAAACGAATGAATTGGCAGGCTGCTCAGTTAATGATTCAGTAGTTTAACTGGACAGGCTATTTTAAAGTGCTTTGTTGTGAGTGTCGTGGTTGTTAACACAAAAAAAAGACACTGCCTAGAAATTTGTGTTCATATGGTGGTCTGGCACACAGATTGCTTGCACATGTAAGGAGACCCCCATGCAATCAAGGAGTGCTGCATGGTGAACATTTTCAAATGTTATATTCCCCATCCACCACAAAAATAGACATCACACAGAAGCACTTTTCAGAAGAGTTTTACACATTCCTTCTTCTCCTTGCCTCTCCCTCCTAGCATTTCTCTGTCTGTTGCCTTTTGGCTACCTAAATTTAGGGCAATCTGAAGAACTATCTTCTCCATTATGAGCAAAGGATTTCCTCTTAGATCTCTCACTTTCTCAGCTAATGCGCATAGGAAATGGAGACACAGGGCCTTTTCTGCGGTGGCACCATGTCTTTGGAATACCTTTGCCAGAAACATTTGCCTGTCACCTATACTGCTGTCATTTGGGGGCTGGATGAAACCCCTCTTGGACTTTTATTAGACTCTGCTTATTGCTGTTGTTTTTAATATTTGTCATCAAATTGTTGTTTTTTGTTCTGTCATTTCCTCTTCTTTCTATTCTCTTTCTTAAATACTGTAAGCTGTTTTAAGCATTGTTAGTAAGGTAAAAGGTAAAAAGGTAAAGGACCCCTGGACAGTTTAAGTCCAGTCAAAGGTGATGCTCATCTCGCTTTTCAGACTGAGGGAGACTGCCTTTGTCCACAGACAGCTTTCCGGGTCGTGTGGCCAGCATGACTAAACCGCTACTGGCACACAGAGGACCGTGACGAGTGTCAGAGCGCATGGAAACGCTGTTTACTCTCCTGCCACAGCAGTACCTTTTTATCTACTTGCACTGGTATGTTTTCGAACTGCTAGGTTGGCAGAAGCTGGGACAGAGCAACGGGAGCACACCCCATGGCGCAGATTAGAACTGCCAACCATCTGATCAGCAAGCCCAAGAGGCTCAGTGGTTTAGACCACAGTGCCACCCACATCCTAAGCATTGTTAGTGGGAAAGCAAGAGATGACTGTAAAGATACAAATGTAGGTTGCAAGATTCCCAGGCCAGGGCCTGTCTTTTGCTATGCCAGACACTGCATATATTTATAATATAATGAAATCAGTCTTCAAAATGATTCTCAGCAGCAGCAACAACGAAAACAAAAGCCACAAGAGGTACAGTAATACAGTGGTGCCATTTATTAGGTAATTTTAGACTCTGGGTTTAATGGTCTTATGTAAGGCCACCTCCTTAGATGCTCATGTGTTCACTAACTTAAAAATGCAGGCAGGCTTACACCCACCCCCCACCCCCGCTTTTGGTGGAGACATTATGCCTGTAATGTTTTGCCTATAATCTTGAAAGGAAGCAAGACAGAGCAGTTCTGTGTCTGAAACACTGTCTGTCCTTAAAACCAAGATCAATTTCTATTGTACAGTCTGCTGGTTTCTTTGATCCACTCCCATTTCTTTTACATATCGGCTCCCATCGTGATGAAGAGCTGATGCCACTGCTGTGATGAGTGATAGCGAGCTCCACTTCAAAACAAAGGGATGCTACCATTGGGTGCAGCTCTTAATAGACCCTGCCAGGACCTAATAGCCTTAAATCAGTGTAAACGCCAGGCAGGCAATTCGCTCTATGTTTAATTCCATTTGGCTTTACTGTTTGTTCAGCTCCTTAATACATTAACGATAAGACAGTATGATGAATATGTAATATGCAATAATATCGAGACACTGAATCAATACTGCACTTTC